AATGGTTTTGCCAGTCCCTTTCTTGTCTCACGTTACTGTAGTTATTTTGGTTCCCACGTCCTGTATGTCCCAATTTACAAAATTTATTCTGTTCATGTCCTCTCACTCCACAAAAAGTACAATACAATTTGTTTAGTCTACTGAAACAATCCTTTGTATCGTGTCCCGTCTTCTTGCAGAAATTGCAGGCCGATTTTTCTTGTTTTACCGTCTCCATTGGATGTTCTCTACATTTGGGTCCATTTTCATGCCCATATACTCCACAATTTGTACAGTATGGCGTATTTTGTCTTTCTGGGCAGTATGCCCATCCATGTCCGTCTTGTTTACAAAACGTACATTTCATTTCTGTTCGATTCTCTGTGGTAGACATGTTTATATTTGAACGTGATTCACCCAATAATTCTTCGGCTGATTCTGCAATAAATATTAGTTTCTGGATAGGATCATTCTCTAACCCAATAAACCTATGCTTTAAACTATTGTCTTTCAAACCCTTAATAAAACAACGTACTGTTAGTCGCCTGTATTCTCCTAACTGTGACAGAATTTCACTCTCACCTCCTTGATTTCTTATTAGTTGTTCGGCTTCATGTAGTAACGCCTCCAGTTTACCTCCAAATGAACTCGCCGACTCATTCTGTCTTTGTTTAGTACCAGTTAGATCATTCCTTATGTGTTCCAATGTACGTTTCCTGAGGTATGTACGTTTAACCGCCTCACACAATTCATTTACTGTGTTGAATGGTCTACCCGCGATATTCTCGTAAGCTACACTCACTAATCTTTGTTTTATGCAACTTACGACATACTGTGCTCCTTCTTGCGGTAGTGCTTGTTGTACCAGTTCACAACCCGCAATAAACTTGTGTACTTCACTCCGTAGATCGGGTCCTTCTGTGCCCGTGAAATACGGTACCACCTTGGTTACTATTTCCATGATTGCCGTAATCGATGCCATAACTTTTTTTTCGTTATTGTTTGTTTCCACCATTGTTCTCAGTAACTGTTTTGTTTGTCCGCACTTCGCTAGTTCTTTCTTTAAATCATCAATTTATGCTGTTAGCTTTTTAATTTCGTTTTCCCTAATGTGATCTGTACCTTCTTAGTCCAAGATTATACTGATGTCCTGTTCCGTTTTTCCCTGGTTTTTTAAAACGTTCTCCAAAATTGCCGTCTGATCTTCCGCGTCTTGCAATAAAGATGTTAGTTCTTCCGTGCGTGAACTTAGTTGCTTACACTTATGTTCCAAACCCTTTTTAGCATCTGACAAATCTTCAATAACGTTCGCCAATTCTTTAGACCTTATCCCTTCCACACTCTCTATATTTTCCTTTATGTATTCAAGTTCTTCAACCCTCGTTAACCTGTTATGTCTAATATGATCTTTTGTTAATTGAACAAATTCCTTATCTGGATTAAGTTCAATTAATTTTTCCCAAGCGTGTACTCTTGCCGATTCTAAATATCTTTTAAATACTCTAAGCTCCTGTTGTAAATGTTCGATTTCCTTTTCCATTTATGAGAAATAAAAACAAAACAATTACGTGACCCCACTCAACCAATAACAATAATTAATTAATCAAAAAAAGAAAATACCAAACCATATCTCTGTACTACACTTATTACTTAGAAAAACAAAAACAATGTTTAATTCCACAATTCTCTAAATTCTTGCCTATATTGTCGGGCCCACTCTTTATCTGTTTTTGGTACTGGTCGTTTTATGCAGTTTTTATTGGGTTTTATGCTTATGTTTTCGTAAGATATTCCCTTATCTTTTGTATTGTCTATTTTACTAATAATACGATGTGCTTTCTCAAACAACCATTTATGCGAATCTAGATGGTTTTCTAAATCTTTTTCCTCGAATTGCTTATCGCAAACAAAACAACTTTTCCCCATATTTGAACAAACTTGAAAATTAAGAAATTTCACATAACAACGTAGAACAACAGAACTCAAAAAAAACTTACATATAGTAATAAATTTACATACATAAAACTTACATTCAGAAAATTTACATATAAAATTTGATTTTTAAAAAAAATATAAATATATATTATATCATTACAATATTATTTTTATGTGTTGTAATAAAACACATTTGATTTGCTTTGTCTTTCTTAAAAAATGAAATGTCTTTCTATTTTAAAAACTTAACTATAAATATTTCTTATTAATGACTTACAATTTTTTCTCCCATTTTTCTTCTTGTTGTGTGTTTTTGTTGATACTCCTTATTAATCCGGGTCTTGTCTTGTCCTTAATGTGTTGGTCCCTCGCTGCACGTTTTGTTACTTTTAGTAAAAAAAAACGTGTATCGGTTGCCAATTATTATGTGTTGCCAAAAATTATTATGTGTTGCCAATTAATGTTGTGTTCAATTAATTAATTAATTATGTTGTGTTGTATAGTTGTAATGCTGTAAACTCCCACGTAGGTAGGTGACGTTGTCGTCTCACGTTGCACGTTTTATATTGTATGTTTATAGAAACGTGTGTATACCGGCTGCGCCAATTATGTTGTGTATTTTTGTGGAAAAACGCGAGTGTGCCAAAATGTTGAATTCTTTATTTCAAGTTTTGGACGAAATGTTTCAGTTGCACTTGTTTATAGCTAATTTTTAAAAAAGGTCCTTAGCTATTATGAAAACACTTGAGTTTAATTTCACCATTTAATTTTATTAATTTTATTTATGTTATAATTTATATTCTTTGGATTCTTTTAAATTCAGTCACACACGACTTATTTGTTTTAACATTTGTAGTCAGCGCTACTACGCTTGATCATTTTTTATATTTGGCTAAGTGTACATTATATAAATTTTAACCACTACTTCGTTTAACCACTGTTTTTTATAATTTTCTATTTCTACACAACTTTCAACTCCCGTCTTTGACTCCTCTTTGACTCTTAATTTTTACTCCAACTTAGACTCTAACTTAGACTCTAACTTAGACTCTAACTTTAACTTCAGCTACAACTCCAACTGCAACTTAACTTACCACTCAACTAACTTTTTTGTGGTTTTAAATCTATCTTATATACCTAAACTTGATGCAAAAATCCAATATATGACCTTCACATTACCCTAGTTACCTAATTGGGTTTATTCATAGTTTCATAATTTACTTTGCTAAATTTGCAAAGTTTTTATTATTAATAAGAATGCTCTACATATTTTTGCAATTCTTCCGTATTTACAATTTCAATGTCACTTACATCGTGACACCAATTATTAACCAAATACCAAAACTCAGCATTTCTTATCGTCGAACTGACGGTCTGCTGCTTTGGTTCTAGTCAACAACTGCCCAGATGCAAATAACCTTGCCTATTTTTAGGGAAATGTACGATCACCTAAGATCGTACACACTACCATACAGAAAAACTGCCAAAACCCGTGAAATTAAATAAAATAAAT